TTTATATACATTTTTGTTTTAAGAAATTGCTAAACATTTTCGTCTAGTACTGTACAGTTCTAGCCGATCTCCTAAGACCGCCCATCGAGAGCTCTGCTCGTTCAAGCTTGTTCCAACTATTTCTGTCTTGCTCACGCCTAGTGTGTAGTCTTTCTATCTTCGCGCAGATTTCTTCAAGGTCACAATTCTAACAAATTAAAGTGGACTGTAACTATTTACGAATAGTAATCTAATCTAGGTATACCTCTACTCCTCCTAACTCGTGTTTCTGACTAGACCTTCATGCCTGAGAATGTGTCCCACTAACCTATCGAGCTTATTTCTTATTGACTTCCATAGAGTCCTCTGTTCTCCTATTCTTTCTAATACCTCTTCATTTCTAACCTATTCTACCCACATTTCGAACGCTTCTAACCTTTTTTGTCCCTCGAGCCCACCGTTCATGTTTCGCACCCATACAGCGCCGCGCTCCAAACATATCTACCCCTTTAACAACCTTTTTCGAATTTCTAAATTAATTGTTCGCGAGCATAGAAGTGACTTCTCTTTATTAAAGGCGACACGACCCTGCGCTATCCTCTGCTTTATATCCCTACTACTCCTTCCGTCCTGACTTATCTAACTTCCTAGATATCTAAAACCAACCACTTCTTCTAATTTTTCGTCTCCTATCTTTATATTCACTCTTTCCCTACTTTTTCTTCCCTTGCATACTAGTATTTTTGTATCACTTTTATTTATTTTCATACAATACTATTTTATCAATACCGCTTCCATTTTATTTAAAGTTTTATTTTAGTATTTCTTTGTAGATACCAATTGCAAGTTTGTATTTGCGCTGGTTGATCTAAAATCTCGAAACACTTTGCTTTTAAGTTTGTATTTCAGCGTTTATCGATTGTTTAATTTTTTATTTGCGGCTCAATATCTTTGATTTAATTTCCGAAAACTTGATTGTAATTTTCTTTCAAGGTTCTTGTAAGAAAGCCTAATAGCAGAGCATTTAGCAAATTTCGCAAAATATAAAGTGTCCATCATTTCCTAAAGTGCTTTGCAGAAAAGTTCGTTGTTGGGATTTCTGTCAGACAAAAGATTCGGAATTGTTAAAGATAAAGTAATTTCGAGCAGCAATTCTCTCTTGATTTCGTAACGCCGTTCCACTTTCCTCTTATCGAGCGTTCTCGTCCCCCCGAAATCACCGTAAATTCCCGATATCATTAGACAGCAGATATAGTCGAAATAAAAAGTAATAACTCAGTTCGCTGAGTTGAAGTTAGTTTGAATTGCGAATGTTGTTGGCGGCAGTCTAAATCTTCTAGTTAAATTTGCATATAGCGACCCATAATTTGTTCCGCAAGACTCCAAATCACCGTCATTATACCGGCAATTGTCAGAACGTTTCTGACTCGACACCCTCCCCCAATACCCCGTTCGCCTCTCTTCTATTCTGAATATTACTCAAGCACATGTTCCCGTTCCATCCAAACTATCATTAGGAGACGTCGCCACAGGTACTTTATTGTAATTAGGACTCACTGTTAGGCACATTCGTAGAAGCTCTTAAGTTTGCGTTTTGAAATCCAACTTCTTTTTTTCCTAAGTGATATAAGCTCACAATTTAATGCCGTATGGAGAACGCAAAAAGTGACCGAAAAAAAGATTCTTTTCGGCATATTTATGTAAATAACTCAAAATCGAAGCCTCCAAGAATAAAATTGTACTAGACATTTTTTGTTCCTCGTTTAATTCTTTATAAGATAGTGACGGCTTTATTAAAAAAAATAATTTTTTAATTGAAAAATGGGCTAAAACCAATAAAAAACGAATCTACAAATTCAATGCGGTGACAACCAATACATGAAATGTTTTTTTGGGATGAAAGTCTACGTGATTCAGTATATACTTAACTAACCTTAAGGTAAAATTTAATTTGGAATCACAAATATTTCA